CACATGGCTAGTAACTTATAAAAAATTTATTTAAATTTTTATTTTTAAGCCGTGCAATATTTTTGTCCCCCCCCCCCGGTAGTATAGAGCCTGGTAAAGAACTAACAGTTTCATCCAATTCAGATTATGCACCACCAGAAAAGAAGATTCGCAAAGTAAAGTGTGTGAAGACGCAGTGAGCATATAAAGTTCTGCACATTAATCTTATTTTTCCGATTGAAATATCTTCTAACCATATAAAAAATGCATATAGTTAATTTACTAGAACAACTTCCGCCGGAGTTAATATCATTTATTTTTGAGAGGGTAGGATTATCACCTAAAAATACGTTAAAAGTTCTTATGGATGGGCTACAAGTACTTGTGTTAGATAGTGGAAAGCCTTAGTCCGGAGTAGAGATCAACAGTCCGGAAAGCGATGCGCAATGATGTAATAACTGATCACACGGCAGTCTGTGCGACAGGAGAATTTCTTACATATACTGACTTTTGTATTTTTTTTTTCGCAACTACCTCTCAAAATGAAAGTTTTATATCCCGGTCGTACAGGCAAGCGTAATAATAATGTACAAATGGAAAGAGCTTCCTTTTATCTTAAGTACTGATTACGTTTTACTTTCGATAGTTTTAACACAATATTTAGAAGAACGTGACCCCGACAAATGGTCTTACGTTGAATTTTTAAATCTAAACCGCGACACAATCATCAAGTTACCTCCATTTAATGTTAAATGGGCTTCCCTCGATGGCACTTGGTATAGGCAATTTCTTGAAGAAACGCGTGAACTGGATCCTGCGTCAGCCAATACGCTGAAGGAAAGAGTATTTTATTTTTTTTATATAGTTGGCGGTAGGGGCCTCCTGACACGTCTCTACTTGAATCCGGAGGTTTTCAGCGCTCTCTCTGTCCCAAGTGATGGTGGGGAAACTCCTGTCACGTCTCTACTTGCATTTGGAGCCCGATCCCCACCAATCGCGACTCCCGTTTTTTATATTGTTAAAGCTTGTACTCATTTTGATGCGAGTATTGAATAAATAATTCTTAACGTGAAAAATCATGTGATTGTGCTTAACTACACAATAGGTTAAATCCGAACAAAATATGAAGGATTACTGGGAAAAGATGATCATTGAACAGAAGGAGGTTAGTTAAGCCGATTTCTTGTTATCTATATTTATTATATTTAATTTTGTAATCATACAAAACAGCTGTCAGTAAAGCGTACACACATCTCCGGTAGTCTCGACCTTCTAAATGATGCTGGGGAGTATAATACGCAGAGATTACGCGATCAAGGGTTTAATGAAGACGAGGTGAGATTAAGAACTGGCGCGCGACTTACTACATACATTACTCTTATACTATGTCTTTGATTTCACTTAGGAAGGAAAATCTTCCGGAAAGGCTCTTAGAAAGAGGAAGAAGGTTTGTTATACTGAAGAAACGGAGATGGATTCGGATTACTCGGATTACTCTGATCATGAATGGAAGGTAGCTAAAACCAGCATGTTTCAGTTACTTTGAAACTTAATTATTAACTTTTTTTTTTGCAACAGCCAAATAGAAAATCATCCCACATCGAAAAGATTGTAATAAAAAAAATTTTTTCCCGGTAAATTTTCATTTTTGGAAATAATCTGCAATTTCAGTCACGTGGAGGTGGGTGTTACTGAATGTGGTAGATCTTCGGCGCGTTACATCATACTCATCAAACCAAAAATATAAAAAAAAAAGTATAGCACGGAAAGTTTTTTTAGCGAAAAATAAACCCTGTATACACACACGTCCGTTACAGCTTTCCTTTGAGGTCGAGTATGGTTTTACAGTTGCGTTTCTTTCAAACCCGGCGTTTCCCATCCCGTAAGTCCTGAGGGGTTTCGTCTTCCTCTGGTGTGGCTGACGAAATGGCTATCTAGCGATTTTTAGAGGATACTTCAAGGTTCTTGTATTTCAGATCAAGCGTTTCCCATCCCGTAAGTCCTGAGGGGTTTCGTCTTCCTCTGGTGTGGCTGACGAAATGGCTACATATCGTAGCGATCTTAGACTATCCGTAAAAGTTTCGGGTTAAAAATAAAAAGCGTTTCTCAATCTTATTCTATGATTTTGCTTACTATATGTATTTCTTCTTTTATTTTAATAGGCTACATGGTGTGTCTATCGATTCTTTATCGTCGTTAAAAATTGTTTCGAGATATTAATTTATCTTTATCCACAGGCATATGTCGAATTATTGAAAGAAATTATATCGGATAAATACTTTACTATTGTTAAGTTTTATAAAAAGTTGGATTTTCCATTCGCTCAAAAGAAAGAAGAAATTTTATACGAATCATTAAAAACCATCGCATCCGAAAATAACGTGAAAGCTCAGAAACTTTTAGAAAGTCTTGACAAACTTATCAACTCCAACTCATTAATGAGCTACTGGGATGGTATCAATATACAAAATGAAAAAAATAATACTCAATTTATTAAAGATGCATTGAGAGAAAAAGAGGTTAGTATACATGCATTATCTGCATGTTTTAATGGAATGTTATTATTAGCTTGTTTATTCAAATAATCTAGGAACAGGAATCTTACCAAATAAAATTAAATGTATGAGAAGAGCACATTATTGAAAGTAATCTACTTTTTGATAGAAAAAGAAAAAACAAGGGAGAAGGATTATCAACTCCTCAAAATAAGGTTAGCATATAATTTATTTAGTTAGAAACTTTTAATTTTCTAACTCGTTTTCAATGCATAGGTCAGAATTTTCGACACGGGATATAATAGTGATTCTGGGCTGTATAGTGGAGAGCCATTCTCACCAAGCTGTGAGGCTGTACCAAGATCACTTACGAATGTTTTTCTCGAGTTAAAAGAACTTAAAGATAGTGATGTTGGTGCTGTTTTAAAATCCATGAATCTTGGTGATGATTATATCTTAGAACCTAAGGATTATCATGAACAAAGTAATCCTGAAGTACAACAAAAACTTATTTCAGAACCAGTTGAAGGAAATCATCTTGAAATAAAACAATATGACTGTGTACCAAAGCCAAAAGTTACAAGTAAACCTAAATATATACAGCATGACCTTGCATAAGTTTTACTTTCAAGTTTACGGTTGTGTTCTTTAAAAGTGAATAAATGGTTATGGAATGGACTTGATATCTGTAATTCTTTACGAGATAATAAGAATGCTAGAATGTAAGTAGTTTTTTAACATCTGAAATATGCTGCTTTTTATGTTTCTATTGAACACTGTTTTATTTTGAACAGGCCATTAAACATTGATGTCATGAATTTTCATAACAACTTATGTACAGAACCCCTTCCATCATCAATGATTACATATATTCAAGAACAAATGGAAAACGAAGATGTTAACATCATCTTCTTTGATGATGGCAAAAAATTTGGAATAAATAAGTTTTCAATTGACATTGATGAAGAAGTTATGAAATATCTGAATGCATTCCAAGATTGTGTAAGCTTGTATGTTTATTACAAAATTTGATGATTGCTAGACTAACTTATTTTATTTTATTTTATTTTCTTTTCTATATATATATATATACTGTATATTTATATATATTTACAGACGTCTCTAGATGCATTACGTAAACTCTGCACGAGAATTCAGTTCACAATAGTCAAACCTTAATTCTAACATTAGCTACATTTACAGTTTTTTTAATCACATATATGAAAAGCCTTTCTGATTTCATAACATTGCATTGTTGCATTTCAAATATTAATCTAATTTTTATGAACAGGTATAACCTCTATTCGAATGAGACGTTGTCTCATTCTCTTACTGAATATGAATATGATTCATATGTGTGGTGTTAGCTGTAAAATTAACATTATTATAAGATCATCAAAATTGATCTACAAATTATTATTTGACTTAGTTGAC